ACCGATGGACCTTAGAATTAATGTCCCTTAGCCGGGCTTTCATTCCCTCGATCTCAGAATCTTGAGCTCGGGGCTGTATCCTTCGTTCTTCGGTTGAGGTCGAGTCGCGGTGCTGGGAGCTTGGACGAACGACTCTCGAGCTGCTCGGGTTTACCAGCGTCGGATCGATTGTAAGATTAGCCAATCGTTCGGTCGTCTCGACTCTGGTTCGGTGCTCCGGGGTCGGAGACAAACTTCGTCGGGCCTGTGGTGAATCTTGAGTTGACCTTTGTTGAAGCTGGTCCAGCTGTGCTCGGTAACCGGCTTGTGCCGAGCTTAGAAGGTCGAGTCGTGAGTTGGTGCTGCGAGTCTGCTCTTCCTGACGATCAAAACGTTGCATGATGACCTCCATCATGGCGACCATGGGGTCCTGAACCGGGGCGACCGCTGCTTCTTCGGTCGCGGTTACTCTTGGTTCGAGCTCCGCTCGCCTTCCCTGGACGGCTATTGGTTGGACGACCTGAAGGCGATCCGGGGTATCGAGGATAACCTGGTCGTCTAGGGCTCGTTCTTGCTGAATTCCGTCCATTTCCGAGTTTATATCGTGAGTTGGAGAATTTCTGTCCCCTACCTGGCGCGCCAATTGTTGATCCACGTGTTCGACAATTAATTTGTATACGGTAAAGGATCGGAAATTCCCGTTTATTGATGTTAACTCGGAAACAGGTTACAGCAAATGACATTGTACGTGTTAGAAAAGACTGTGTATCGAGCTCGGAAGATACGAGATCGTCGCTTTCAAGGTCGAACCTGTCACTGAAAACGAGATCGGGCTGGAGATCCAAACTGACTAAACAACTGGATGTCGAGGTCGCTGAATCGGAGGTCGGAATCAGATGATGAGAGCACTTGAAGTCGGAGTATCGGGGTAATAAGTATAAACTCTGCGCAGCCTTTCGGCGAGTAACTCTTATACTTTCTGATCAATCGAGCTCGATCAGGGGATTCTTTCCTTTTTGGTGTTAGAGAATGATTGCTTCTAGNTCTCAAATTCCCTTGTGCTTGCCCAAAAGTGGAAAAAAGTGATCCCTCAACTCATGGGATGGGGACCCCTATTTATACTAAAAGTGGAGAGAATAAGGTACTAGGGTTGTCTCGGGACCAGTGCTGATGTCATTCACTGCAGAAGGCGGCTGGGTTTTCTTTGGGCCTGGACCATCAGTTACTGGGGCGAGCTCGTCGGACTTCCACCTTCTGGACCGAGCTCGTTAGACTTCTGTTCGCTGGGCTTTTTCGGAAGTGGGTTTTAAAAGTGACTACTGTTGAAGTCCATGCCCAAC